TAAATACCACATCCCTAAGTCCCATATATGCTTGGCGTGCTTAAGTTACATATTGGTTTACTGTTGTGTAAAAGCATTAACACAAAGCTTATTTTGTAATAAATATTGAATATCTTATGCACATAACAGATGGGCATTTTGTTGACATGATGGGATATGAAAAAATGAAGCATGATATCCCACAAGAGCTGATCACACAGCACAGTTTTATAAAATGCTATTGTTTCTTAACATGCCTGTGGGGCTGGCTGGGCATGGAGGCTCACTGCTGCTACCCAGAATGACAAAACACTAGTCTATCAGACACTCTCAGCCTAGGAAAATATCAGAATTGTAAGGCTGGTTCCTACTGAATGTCTGTTTTGTTTGCACAGTTGTATAGTTAGAAAATCAGAAGTTGAATGTCCATCATAATCCAGGGACTTTATAAATGTTTGGTTTTGGAATATGTAGCTATGAAATATACAGGTATATATTTCCTTATTCCATAACCATATATTTTAAATATATTTCTTAAACAACGAATTCCTATAAGTCAATTCAAATAGATCCTAGTCACTCTTTCTGATAGTAAGACTGTGTCAAAGCTTATTTAACTAATTCATTTTTAGAGCAGAGGACTAAGAAATGAAAAGTGTATTATGTTGATAAAATTTAACAATATTTTGCACATATTTTTTGTTTGCTGTGTAAGTTTGTGTCAATTCCCCATGTTCATATCAGATGAGATTTCACTCTCTATTTTCAATTCTCTCCTCTACATTTCGAGAAGGGTAGGGCATACAAATGTCTATCATCATCCACCCATATCTGCAGATTCAGACCTGTGGATGCCACACATTGTGTTTAGGAAATAAGGCTTCATTTACACTGTATATGTACAGAGGTTGTATTCTGTCATTATTCCCCAAAACAACTTCCCATGGGAGCTATTTATATAATGTTGACATTACACATAGTGTTGCAAATACACTATGTGTATATGCAAATGTTATATGTATATACGTGTATAAGGGACTTGACCATCTGTAGATTTTGGTACTCTGTGGGGACCGTAGGGACTAATCCCCTGTGGAGACTAAGGGATGGTGTTGAGCTCCTTCCTTATGATTGTAAATACAGTATCTTTAATGAATCTTTGTCTCACCTGTTAACAATTAATAATCAAGTAAGTGCAACAAAAAATTTAATGGTTAAAATGATTGTAAACATATTTGTATCTTTTAGCCATTGTTTTTCAGCTTTCTGGTTAGAAGGAAGCCCATATTCACTATAATAAGCATGCAGATTAGCAAAAGATTATACAAAACAAAAGTCATAATCCTATGGCCTGGGGATCATGACTCATTAACTGTTAGTCTTTTACTATATACATGTATTATACATGTGGATACACATGCGTTCTCTGCGTCTATGTTACTTTTATTTCATTTTCATGTGATGTGGCTCGAGGAATTTGCTTTAATTAAGTATTCTGCGAAAGTCTTTTAACCGGCTGTATAAAGGTACATCTGTGTGTGTGTGTGTGTGTGTGTGTGTGTGTGTGTGTGTGTGTGTGAGCATTGCCTTAAGTGTTTCCTCATGCTGTACACTTAGGCATGTCTGCTTGGAAACTTAGCAGCAAAGGCCATCCTTTAAGTGGGAAAGCCTGTCGAAGCCCACAGTGCTGCTTCTGCTTAGCCATTGTAACAAGTATACCAAATGGCATTGGACTTGGGAACCTGGAATGCCTCATTTGGATCTCAGACCTGCATGTGTTCCAAATGCATGATGGTCTTGATTTCTAAGTTTCAATTTAGTCAGCCAGCCAGAAAAAAGAAGCATTTACAGAACATTAAAAAAATCTCCATTCCTCTTAAGTCCTGCAGTCCTCCAAAAAAGAGTGTGCCTGTTCCCGACCAGCCCAGCATTTAATCCCAACCTGTCACCAGTTTCTATGAAGTGAGGTTTCTATTACTTCCTAGATCGCTCTAGTCTATCAGAGGTCACCATCTCCAATTTAGCCTAGATGTGGATGGGAAAATACCCTGTGCAGCCCCAGCATCCAAAGAACATTGGTGTCAAATTCAATTACTGCAGAAGGAGACCTTTTTTTTTCCTAAAGGTCTCTGAATCCATTAAAAAAGCGTCTCAGATTCCTAGCACTCCCGCTATGGTGAATGTGTCTCCCACACGGCCCTTCTGACAGCTGTTTTGTAATTTCACTTTGTCAACTACTTTCATGGTCGGAGTTTCATTTGTTGAAAAAATAGCTCAAATGGTAGCAGAGACTGTAACGTCTTTACCATACATCTATGCAGACCTGACTGAGGTAAATACCACAGACACAGAATGACCCACAGTGATTTCAGCTCGCAGACTTTTCGTCTTTCTGTATTTTCAAGCATGTTCATTTTCCCAGTGTAACATGTCAATTCTGAATTGCCGCAGCTACAGCTTCTACTAATTACCTCTGTGTACTACAAAGGAATTAAGTTTCTTAAAGTGTTTTTTCTTTTATTTTGAAACTATTTTGTGTGGAAATTCCTTACATTTTCATGTGCTCAAGTTGCAGAGATTTTTCTTTTTCCTTGATTAAGGGATAAATGAATTCATTCTGCATTGAAGAAAATGGCACAATTCTCATGTATGCATGTGTGTATGTGTGTATGTATGTATGTATGTATATGAGAAAATTGTTTCCACATTTACATTTCCAAGAAACCATCTGGCAGGCAGGAAGCATTAGCAGTGTTTCCTCTTGCTGCACCGAGGCCTTCTACCTTGTTTGGAACATTTAAGAATCAAGAAGTGTAGTTGTGCAGACTCTCCTGAGTTTTACACAACATTGCTTTAATTATTGGGTCAGCCTTGGGTACATTAAGTCACCATTTCAGTCATTAGGAACTATTTCCAGAGTATACACATTACACTGGAGCTTGAGGTCCTCTTTACCCTTTCAGGGCTAGGACACAATGAACAGCAGCTTCCTCCCAGAGGAGCAAAGGCATCTCCTTGGCCTCTGTCTCACGCCTCTGCACACTCAATCAACACAATACTCTGCAGCCCAGTGAAAGCTACTGGTCCTGACCTGCACTTTGCTATACTCTGGACCACTCCATGAGGTGAAGGTACCTCCTTAGATGGCATGGCCTCCAGACAAGACTCCCAGAATCCACGGGAGACTACCAACTTCAGGATTATTTTGGAAAGCAATGTCAGTGTACCTGATGTGCTCTTCGAGAATGGGTGACATCTCATCCTGCACGATATTTGCTTCATGTCTGATTTGCTTTACTTAAAGATTTATTACAAATCATTTGTATGAGTTTAATTGTTTTTCAGTTCTCATGAACGGTCTCATCTTTGCATCTGTATGAGTTATGTCTGGAATGATCAGTCCTGGAAATCAATCCTTGAGAATCAATCCCAAATGGAAGTTCTGTTTGGGACAAGCCACACTGGATGATGTCGGGGCTCACATTAGGATAGGAGAATAACTTCACTTGGGTTGAAAGGGAACACACCTCATGATCATGCTGGAGCATCTGGGAAGCCAGCTCCATCCCCTAGGTACCCATCAGGTGAGCATTCACAGACAGGTGGTTATGTGGCTATAGCTTTCATCTCTCTGGGGGCAGAGGCAGAGAAGTGTGTTTGCTGAGTCTTATGGCAAGTGCATTTTGTTTCAAATCATTCCCACCATGAATGCATGGCATACAGTTTTCCCTGCATCTTTGCTGGAGTCTGGTGTTATTATTCTTTTGTTTTAACTGTTGTTAAAGGTGTGTGGTAATACCCCATTGTAGCCATGGCTTACATCCCTTCATGCTTGGGAAGGCACCTCTCTGAGCTCACTTACCACATCATTCTTTCCAATAGGATCCTTTGCGGGGTGTGAGTGTGAGTGTGTGTGTGTGTGTGTGTGTGTGGTGTGCACGTGTGTGCGAGCATGCGTGTGTGTGCGTGCGTGTTTGTGGTGTGCATTTGTGCATGCGTGTGTGCACCTGTGTGTGCGTGTGTGTGCATGCATTTGTGCGTGTGTGTGCGTGTATGTGTGTGTGTGTGATTTGTCTTTGTATGTATGTAGGCACACATTTGCCATGGCTACATGGAAGTCATGGTCAGTTCTGCAGGGACTCAGTTTTTTCCTGCAACTCAGGTCTTCAGGCTCAGCAGCAAGCTCCTTTACCCACTGAACCATCTTGCCAGCCTTATGAAATTATTGTCCTTCTTTGATAGAGTGTACATTGTAGATACAAGTATTTAGTAATTGTAGTTATTCAACAGTAGTAGATTCTGTAAATGCATTTAACTAGTCCCTGACATGTCTTCAATCCTATTAAACAGTTTTTATAGGGCAAAGGTTTTGATTTTTGATAAATCTGAAGTGATTTTTTTCTCATCTTATGGTGTTTTGTGTAGAAGTCTTAAACTTTTGGTTCCAAATACGTTATCTTTTTTTTTCTAAAAATTTTTATAGTTTTGTATTTAAGTTTATGGTCAACTCAAGTTAATATAATGTAAGTTTGGGACTTGGATGCATTACATTGTTAGGAGAACCAGTCACTTCAGGGCGACTCATTGAACAGACTGTTGTGTCTCCGGTGTGACTGCGGCACCTTTGCTGCCTCCCTTGGCTGTCCCATGTGGTTGGTGACTAGGATTCACATTCTCTCTGTCGATCTCTATGGTTTGACTTTAGCCACTTTCTCAGAGGCTTATTGTTAGTGTATAATGAATATTCAAATTAGATACAGTGAATATTCAAATTGAATGCAGTGATTTATCTGACTTAACTCTTTCAAAGTTTTCACCCTTTCTATATAAAGTTTGGAACATTTTCCTTTCTTTTCTTTCCCTCTCTTTTTCTCCTCCCTCTCCTCTTCCTTTCTTTCTTCCTCCCTTTTACTGTTTATTAATTGTGTATGTGTTCCTGTGTGTGCTTTCATGTAAAGGCCAGAGTCCAGCTTCAGGAAACTTTCTCAATGTTTTTCCCACTTTTTTCTCTTTTGACACAGGGTCATTGATTGGACCGGGAGCTCACCGGTTTACTATACGGACTGATCAGTCCTAAGGATCCTCCTGTCTCTTCTGGCCTGGTGATAGAATTACAGGTGTGTATGTGACAATGCTTCCCATGTAAGCTCTGGGGAGCCAGGTCTTCATGCTTACACGGTGAGTCCTCCACGGTGAATTCTCTCGCAGCACACCCTCCTCTCTCTTTCCTCCTTCTGTACCAGTGGTTCTCAACCCTCCTAAACCTACTACCCTTTCGTACAGCTCCTATTGCGGTGACCACAGCCATAAACGTATTTAGTTTGCTACTTTACAAATGCAGTTTGGCTACTGTTAGGAGTCACAATGTAAATATATGATATAGAGGATATTTGATTATCTGATGTGTGACCCCTGTGAAGCAACTGTTCAACCCTCTAAAGGTGTCGTGACCCACAGGTTGAGAACCTCTGCTCTTCATCATTGCTGAGACTGGAACCCTGAAACTCATGTATATTAGGCAAGTGCTCTAAACCTGAGAAATAAGATTGCTGAGATTTTTATATATCTCACACTAGCGTGTGAACCAGTTGGAAGGAAATTGACACCTGTTTCTCTTGCTGAATTTTCCATGGCACAATTGATGTTTGTTTGTTGGTGTGTTTGGTCCATCTCATCGTAGTTTATAATTTTTCATGTACAGATGCTGTACTTATTTTGTTAATTTTGTGAACCTGTGCATTCTATTTCACCAAGGCCAGGAAGGTCTGTTACATTTTGTGAGGAATGATAAAAGGTATACGTAAAGATTGAAACTATAGGAACTACATTTGCATGGTATAGAGGGGAGACAGGAGAAAGACTACATTTAAAGATAACTATAAAGTTCTGTCTGTTTCTGTGCACTGTGCCACATTAGTGTAAGCTGGTTCAGCACCTTTTACTCTCACTGCCTCACATCTACTCTGTGGCAGAATTGAAGCCCTAGGCTTCTTGTCCTGTATTGTTGAAAAAAATAGCTCATATGTGAGTACTGCATTTATTACTATTTCCCCTACCCCTCCTTCCAGGTCTCCCTCTCTCCCTGAATTTATGACCTATTCTTTACTCTATAATAGTACAAACACATATGTATAGTGTTCATGCACATGTATGTACAACCTACTGAGTTCATTATGTACATGTGTATCTTTGATATTGGACACATATTTATATGATTAATATACACAAAGAAGCAAACAAGTCCACCGGTACACAGATGCATTTAACTTATAATTAACAACACCTTTCTCAAAATAAAAGGTTTAACTGTGTGTGCTGATACCCAATTGTTGGCACTGACGTCACATAACTGATTCTAAAGATAAAGCAGTGGTCCTTGTGACAGCCACGGGAAACAGGAGCTTTAGAGAGAAAGATAACCAAAATGTGCTCTGATCTGAACGTACGTGCTTCCTTAACTCCTATCGCCATCTGAGAATCACTGGAGCAGCTAAGAGGTAGTGGTACCTGTGAGAGGTATATTGTCTCTACCCCTGTGAATGTGTTAGTACAACATTCATGGGGTGAGCTACTCTTTATTGCTTTATTTTTATTGATGCTTCTTAATTCTGCATATTGGGGGGATCAGTAGTTTTGCACATACATATTGCATGCACTGATAAGATCCAACCTCGTCTTTTCAACAGTTCCCACCCCCAAGCACCCCTCCCGACCCCTCGGAATCATACTCTGCTTTCCACATTAACTCCTTTTCTTTCGTCTAGCTTCCACACACAAGCAAGAACATGTTGTATTCTTCTTTCTGTGTCTGACTTATTCCACTTAACAGTGTTCTCTGTTTCCTCTAATGTTGCTGCAAATGACATAATTTCATTCTTCTTTACAGTTGAACAATATCCCCACCATATACCTTTATGTGGTATAAGTTTTAATTCATCCATCCCTTGGTAGGTACCTAGACTGATTAGATTTCTTAACTACCTTGAACACGACTACAGTAAACATCCATGTTCAGTTATCTTTTAAGTGTGCCGATTTCTTTTCCTTTGAAGCGACACCCGGAAGTAGAATTGTTAGATGGAATGACACATCTATTTCCAGTTTTTGAGGCCTCTTCATGCTGTTTTCCATAGCGGCTGTACTAATTTATGTTCCCACCAACAGTGTGTATGAGTTCCTTTCTTCACTCAATCACCAGCTTTTGTCATTTCTTTTCTGTTTTGTAATAGTCATTCTAACTAGGATAAAATGGTATTTCATTGTAGTTTTGCTCTCCATGTCCCTAGTGCCTAAGGATATTGAGCATTTTGTTCCATGGATTTATTGGACATTTCTATTTCTGCTTTTGAGCAATGCCTATTTGCATCATTTGTCTTTTTATTAAATTGGAATAAACTTAGCAAAGGAAGTAAAAGGTCCCATAATGAAATTTACAAAATGCTGATAGAAAGAATTGAAGAAGACCCAAGGAAAGAGAAAGACATCCCCCATGTTCATGGATCCAATGACCTGATACTTGTAAAACAAACAAACAAACAAACCACACTGCCCAAAGTGACATGCAGAGTCAAGGTGAGACCAACCAAAATATTAATGCCTTTCTTAAGATACCTAGATAACAATCCTAACATCTCAGAGAGGCACAAAAGTTTATGAGTAGCAGAGAAATCCTGAGCAAAAGGGACAAAGATGGAGTTATTACAATGGATGATTTCAAGATATATGACAGAGCCACAGTAACCACCATAGTTTGATATTGCCATAAAAACAGGCATGGAAACCAGCAGGAAAGAATAGAAATCCCACAGAGGAGCACACACACTGCGGTCAGTTGAGTCTTGATGAAAGTTCCAAAAACATCCACTGAAATGGACAGCTTCTTTGATATAAATGTGCCTGGGAAAAAATGACTATCAGTATGTGGAGGATTGAAATCTGACCTCTGTCACTCACAGTGTACAAGTGAACCACAATGGGTCAGAGATATAAATTTAAAACCTGAGATTCTGAAATGGCTGGAAGACAACAGAGGGGACAATGGGGCAGGCCACGGATTTCTAGACAGGACTCTAAAGATACAGGAAATAAAAGAAATGATGGCGAATAGTACATTAAACTGAGAGAATTCTTCCCAGCATAGGAGACAGTCAAGAGACAGTCTGAATGCTGGAAGAAAATATTTTTCTGACTGAACCTCACAATGTTAATATGTAGAATAAATAAGGAGTACAAACCACTGAATTAAAAAAATATGAGTAATTGAAAACTGGAAGTAGCTTTCTTATATTGAGCATGGGTGCTTATCCAGAATGGTTCAGATTGACTTGCTTGTTTCTCATTTTTGTCCTCCTGCTATATGAAGATGACCAGCTCACACTGGTACCTCAATATTGCACTTTTCAGTCTTGGAAGCTACATAAATAGACTTCTGTTCCTTGTGGATTATGATGTGTGCTTCTGTGGATTAAGGTTTGTTGTCATCCCGTAGAAGGTGTGGAAAAACCTATGGAAGAAGGAAACCCACGGAGACACTGAGATATCCAAACACTTTTTGTCTAGGCAAGTCATTCTTAATTTATAAGGCCACCCACAAACAATTCCTGACATACTTTGCTCTGGTAAAACTGTTGGAACATGAGCTTTGGTCAGTCCAGAGGGCATCAATCCAGAGCTTAAGGGAAAAAGACTAGTGGTAAATATTAAATTCATTTAACCTTGAAAATAAGGCTAAGTGGAAGTTCTATGTGGCATAAAGGCACTATATACATTTTATATTATCTGAAAAGACAGAAATAATAATGTATCACCCACAGTGGAGAGAGGGGAACAAGATGAGAGGCAATATGAGATCTTATTTTGGTTTGTGTATAGTGGGTGAGAGTTCAAACTTAATCTGACAAATGGAGTAGTAAAAATTTCAGATTAGTTAATAGTTCTCAGATAAATATGCAAAGTATTAACTGCCCTGTTTTATATTAAGTGCTGAAGGACAAGAAAGAGTGTAGGAACATATTATTGCTTCTAGTGGGAAACAATATAATGTCTAAAGCAAAGAGGCAATTAAGGATATTTTATAAAAAAATTCATTCAATAAAAAGTAATTGAGAACAACAAATATCTTTTCAACTATTAGAATAGCAACAATAGCAAGCAAAACAGAGCATATTGTAAAAATTATGTATGTGAATATAACCATAATGTGAGTTATTATTATAGACAAAAGATTATAAGTAAATAAACAATAGATTTAGCTTATCTATTAAAAGACATTTCAGCCATGTGTGGTGATACATGTCTCTAATACCCAGCACTCTGGAGACAGAGGCAAGCATATGTTTGTGAGTTTAAGGCCAGCTTGGTCTACAAAGTGAGTTCTAGGGCAGCCAGGGATACATAGTTGGACCTTGTCTCAAAACTTAAAAAATTAAATAAAAGAAGCTTCAGATTGTATTACCAGTCCCACTTGGCTCTCTATTGCACAGGAAAGAAAGGAACGAAACAACCCAGGAAAGCTTAGAAAAATATGGGGATGCTATGCTAGAAAAATGCAACAAACAAAAATAGAAGCTACAGCATCAAGCTAGACAAGACGGAATTCAAAGCTAAGAGCATTAGTAATGACAGAAATAGATGTTTAGTGTGCCCAGGCTGAAAATCACACCAAGCTCAGTAATTATCTACATGGCAAACTAGAGTGGGAATATTCATGAATGTGAAACCACTCACCAGAAGCCGAGGCTTTGACTAACCTTGTTAAGTACAAGATGTATCAAGAATAAAAAGGAAAAGAAACAAGAAAAATAATAAATATAACTTTACTGTGATATAACAATATAGTCAGTAAGCTTGTGTGGATACTGGCTACACAGCAAATAGCATTCCCCATAAGTATCTATAGATCCTCCACACAGATGAACTGTATAACATGCTCTGTAGGTACCCATAGATCACCCGTACCGATGGACTGTGACTTAATTGTGACATAAAGAAAGTATCACCAAATTCTGGTGCAATAGAAATGGGCCATCAAAACCACCTGAAAACAGAGCCACCAAACTACAATGTCGTATAGGACCAGCCTTGATCACTTGGGAATAAAAACGATGCTTGAGGAATGGAGGGATGTAATGCAACAGTAAAGAATTTAATGGTGATGAAAATGCACCCTGGGATTTGGGAGTCTAAATAAATCACTGATAAGAAAAAGAACTGTAGTGTGAAATTCTTCTATCAACTTTAGAAACATGATGTGATGTAACAAAACTCATTAACTAGATGGGTAAAAAGAACAGTAAGAAGATGTAGTTAATATAGATAAAACCATAAATCTAGAGACTAGTATACAAAAACAGAATGTAGTATTTATCACCTCCATGTTGTAAGGAGGAATACTGGGCATCAACACAAGGGTATGGAACTTGTTG